CGGTGTATACAGGACCTAGAAACATGTTCACAGGACCAAGAAGCAGCGTTCACGGGACCTATAAGCAATGTACACAGGTTCTAGCAACAGCGTATACAGGTTTTAGCAACAGAGAATGCACCAAGAACCTAGCAACGGTATATACACACACAGGACCCCAGATATAAGCAGGGGTGTATCAAGGATTACTGGTGCGTGGCGCTCAGCTCACCGCTCTAAAATCCTGCTCCAGTGTCGGGCGAAATTTCTGACCTGCATAATATATGAGGAGGGGGAGAGATGCGCTGCTTGGAGGGCTTGGTTAGGCGGGCCGGCTGCGTTGTTAAGGCTCCAGCATGTTGTACCCCACACAAGAAGACGTGGAGTCAAGTGTTCTAACAAAGAGTGTAGGTCACACTCTTGACATACACACAGTCGTGGAGAATGGTCCAGGACGGACCGAAACGTCGTCGTCCCTTGACTTTCTAGTGTGTGGTTTGGTCAACATATTTCAGCCACGTTATTGTGACTCCTCGCCTGCAGTGCATGTCACATATTTCCATGGCGTGTGGCCTCAGTGGGCATCGTTAGTTGAAAGCCGTTGCCGTTGTCAACCAACGGTGCCTAAATTCAACTTCCTGTAGTCTGCTCGAGTCGGCAACGGTAGCGTATGGGAAGTTAACAAACATTAAACTTCATTAAAAACCTTAAATGAGGAATCGTTTTAAGACAATTTACACAACCCATGTTAGACTAATTTTGGAATATGCAGCACCGGCCTGTAATCCATATTTTGTAGAGTGTAAACCCAAAAGTGAAAAAGTACAAATGTTTGTAACAAAATTAGTTCCAAACCTATGAGAGTTAAGTTGTGAGAATAAGTTAAGGAAACTCCATCTCATAAACCTAGAAGAGCGAAGCAGTAGAGAGGATATGATTACAACATATAATATACTGAGAGGAATAGATAAGGTGGACAACGATAGCCTCGTAAGCTCAGAAAAGCTGAGGAAACTGGAAACACAAGCGCCCTGCCGCTGCTCGCCACACCATTGTCAACGAGTAAATATATTTTTTATTAACGAGTGAATGTGTTTTGTGTCAACGAGTGAATGAGTTTTGTCAACAAGTAAATATGTTTTTGTCATCGAGTGAATGTGTCAACGAGTTAATGCGTTTGACATAATAGGTCGAAGCCTATTTTGAAGACCTTATTTGGCCATCAAAAAAGAATCTTGTACAAGTGTGGCCCATCTGAGAACGCTGGTGTCTGGTGAAGCCTCACGCATCTGGCTCAGCTCCAACTGACATAATAGGCGTGGGTCCTGAGAGGTTGGACGAGTACCTCTTGATACTGGAATCATAAGCAGTGGCAGGTATTCACCCCCTGAGTTACGTCTGAAGCCTACGTCAAGTGGCCAATACGCTTACCGCGGCACAGAAGCAAAAGGTAGAGGTAAACTGCATAAGTGTCAAGTCTGACGCAATGCCTCGAATGTGTAAGTAGCAAGAACGCGTATAAGTAGTGAGTAGTAAGTATTTAGCTGTCGAGGCTGGTGGCTGATGCGTAATAGAGCAAGGTGTTGTATGTAGTAATTCACTGTGTGGTGAATTACCATGTGGGTATTTTGAATAACTAGCGCTGGTAATGATCATTGGTGAAAAATATACATGTATGGCTATGTTTAAAATATACTAGATTATGTCTGGGGTGAGGCTTTACTGAGGCTAAATACTACAATCTGAAATAATATTTTAACTAATTAATACTGTGTTGGATAGGCTGGGGGATGCACCTATTCCATACAGTTTAACTATTTGTGGAATATAAGGCTCACCGTTTTCTCTCATTGATATAAGTGGAAGAAAACGGGTGTCTGTAGTCGGCTGTCGCGGGTTGCCTCTCGTCACGTACAGGTATTGTCAGGTTAAACAAAAATCCAGTTTTTGTAATTCATTGTAGTTTTTACCTAGACGCTTGAATATATATTATTGTTAAGTATTTCTTGATATGTGATATAAGGAAAGTACAAGGAAATAATATTTATTTCTGGGAAAATATGAGTAGAAAGTTGTTACATCTGTTAAGCTACACGTGGCGCTTGACAACTTGTGTTGACTCAGAATACACAAGTGTATTCAGAGTCATTCAGAATACTGAATACAGAATCCATTCGGAATGAATACAGAATATTCATTCTGTATTCTGAATACACAGGTGGACGATGTGCCTCCACTATATCACAAATGGTGGGAAGAATACGAAAAGGCCTGGGACTGCTATGGTGGGACTCTAGGATCTTTAGAACAACTGCCCTAAACTCCTTTTAACTTTCAGTAAGGCAAATATATAGAAGTACAGTATTGGGAAACGCCGACCTGTGGTGTCTATCCTCTTACAAATGCCTACTTTAAAGAAACACTATTTCAAAAGCCTATAAAGTGTTACAATTTAGGTAAAAGTAATATTGAATTGCTTTAAGAGTGTTTCTTTGCAGCAGTAACATGTATACATCACTCACAATACGGTGACGATCTGCGAGGCTTCAAAGTAATTCGAGTATTTTCAGACACTTAGTCTCAGGTATAACAGCACGAAACACTGTCAATCTTGGGGCCTGAAAGTACGTATACAAGAGTGTGTGTGAAACAGTGACATGGCACCCAAATCCCAGAAGTTGCCACGTGGAGACACAGACATTGAATCACTTGATCATATAAGAGGTGGCCATGACCATACAATTTTGGCTAAACTTCCTCCTGATTGATCAAGTTGTGAGAATTTTGGTTGACTGAGAAAACAGCCATAGTATTAATTATTCAATCTTCACAGTGGTAGTGTGATGTGTGTATTGTTCTGTACTTATGGCTTAACTTCATGTGAGGTTTAGTAATCGATCAAGTGAATGATTTAGTGTTTTGAGAGCCTAGCATCAATATTTCATTCAGTGGATATTTATAGTTCTCTGTCAAGCCTAACCCGTGGTAGGAGAAGCTTATTTTCTGATTTTATGCATTCTGGTGTAAAGTGAAGAACAGATTGTAGGTTGACGGTGTATATTTAGGACGAGCGCCCTATAACAAAGAAACTCAAGATGAAGCAATCTACTGAGCCTAGTGACATATCACATTTTCATATATATTTATTTTATATGTATATATAATACATATATTTTTTCATATATGTTTTCCCACATATCAGTGGGAAAAATGAATTAGTCTCCAATTTTATGACAATTAACTATCCTAGTAATTTTTTTACGAATTTAAATTGTAAACATTGTATGCTAGTATTTTTATACCAAAATGTAGATAAACAAAATCTAATGAGCTTTGACAAATTTATCCTCCCTATATTAATTGCTGTAATTTGAATAATAATCCTTGTTGATATTATAAGAACTACTGCTAGTGATAGCATCGCGGTCTACCACAAACATATCCAAGAGATACATTATATTAACATATAAGCTGGATAGTGAGCCTATAGATATACAACAATTTAGGTAGTCCTAGTGTGGGGTTTACATCCGGGGTAGGTTGGGGGGGAGTTCAAGTATCAATGCTGCCATCACGTATAGCTATATTGATGAACTGAAATATAGATATGAACCGTGCACACGCTCCCCTTGGCTGTGTGCTCACTACACCCACCTTCCCAACACACACACACACACACACACACACACACACACACACACACACACACACACACACACACACACACACACACACACACACACACACACACACACACACACACACACACACACACACACACACACACACACACACACACACACACACACACTGGTGTACTCACTACACCTCAACAGCACGTGCTGGTATACCTTTGACGTAGCAACATATACGGTGTGAATAACCACATAAGGGCGGGAGTAACAGCATACAGGGTGGGAGTAACAGCATACAGGGTGGGAGTGACAACATACAGGGTGGGAGTAACGGCATACAGGGTGGGAGTGACAACAAACAGGATGGGAGTAACGGCATACAGGGTGGGAGTAACGGCATACAGGGTGGGAGTGACAACATACAGGGTGGGAGTAACAGCATACAGGGTGGGAGTGACAACATACAGGGTGGGAGTAACGGCATACAGGGTGGGAGTGACAACATACAGGGTGGGAGTAACGGCATACAGGGTGGGAGTGACAACAAACAGGATGGGAGTAACGGCATACAGGGTGGGAGTAACGGCATACAGGGTGGGAGTGACAACAAACAGGATGGGAGTGACAACATACAGGGTGGGAGTAACGGCATACAGGGTGGGAGTGACAACATACAGGGTGGGAGTAACGGCATACAGGATGGGAGTGACAACAAACAGGATGGAGGTAGCAACAACATACCGGGTGGGAGTAACCGCATAATGTGGTAGTTACAATGTACAGGGGGTGGGGAGTAACATGATAGAGTGGGGGGGGGGAGTGGGGGAAGAGTAGGGGAGAGGCAAAAGTTGTAACGGTTCAGTGGGTAAGAACACGGGAGCAGCATAGAGGGTGTGGGCGGCATACTGAGCGGTGGGGTGGGACGTGTGGCCAGGGTGGTGAGGCCGGGTAAGCACAGCCCCGCCGCACCTCAGTAAATTCAAGGTATTGAGAATGGACCCTTCTCTCCCTTCGGCCCCCTCCCTCTCTCTCTCCCTCTCTCTCTCTCTCTCTCTTGTGCCGCCTGTGTCCCGGGGCGCCCACTGTCACACTCATTATGCCTGCCTCCAGAAGTGGCCACCCAACACCTCCCGCCTCGCGCATGATCACACCGCCTTTCCAACACATATATTTATTTATTATGTTAAACATGCGGGAGTATATATATATGATCATTGTGCGTCAGGGAGAACAAGAACGCGGTGTTCACTCTGATGCGAATGAGGCGGGGAGTATAGTACGCAGTCCACGTACCGCAGGTATAAGAATAGCGCGGCGGCGATGCGGTTGCGTGAGCCGTGCTCGCAGTGACACAATATGTGCGAAGGTTAAGTGGTGTGGGATTGTCCCAGTGCCTGAACTTGCCGCCGCTGGGTCCGCGCGGTGACCGTGGTGAACCGTAGAGACGGTGAGCCGGCCAGCCAGACGGTGGTTGGCGGCCGGAGAGTGAGGACGTCAGGGTATGGCCGCTCCGTCGCTAAGTCACCCTGTCACACGCTACGCGACCTCTCGCCGCTCCAGCCCCACACACTTCCACAGCCGCGATTTATTGCAACTTTCGGTGTATTGTGATTTCTTGTGTTGTTTCCACGTGAGGCTTTGGTTTTTGTGTACTTAACAATGTGAAATAAAATGTAACAATATATTAAATTTTAAGTTGCAGTGCAATTTTGCGTCAAGTGTGAGAGAAAAAAAATTACATGGTAACTATAGATTAAATATTGTGTTTTGGAAAAAAGTGCGAAGAGTTGGTACAATCAGAGGACAGAGTCAAATTGTGTGAGTGAACCTGTTGATCCAAGTATAGGCTGCCGACCAGACGCCTCACTACAGGCTTGACGAGGCTCCTTGCCCAAGCCCCACCTGGGGAACCCTGCCTACCCGGCTCCCCCACACACCTCTCCTTGTTACTAACGTCACCTCAGAGAAAGCCAGCACTTGCCAAGCGCAGGGTGTGATCTATCCTCGTGTCGAGTCATTATACTCTAGTAAGAGCGGGGGTTAGACTGGAGTGAAACGCTGTAAAATAGTGACCCCACACTTGACAAGGTGGATCCCCAGCACATCTTAAAGTATACGGGGAACTTGAGTGATTCTGTCAACATATTCTCGAGTCCTTGGTGGCCTGTAAACAGTAGGTCGTGCCCAGTGCCACCCGCGGAGCCACCCACCAACAAGATGGTCCACCAGGTACAGGATCGCTCCCCTCGTAAACGGGACCGTTGCGCCGCCGGCCTCATATTAACTCCGGGAGGCGGGCCTGAGCTTCAAGATATGAGGGCGACAGAATTCAAAGGAGAGATCCGGCCTCCTCCTACCAAAATGTCTCGGCTGGGCATGTATGAGACCTACCAGCCGTGGGTCCTGCAGACCTACGGAGATTCTGCCAAGACCAAGACCATAACCCGGAATAAATATCAGCGAATTCTCCAAATCCTTCGCGGAGATTACGTTGACAACGAAACTTCCAAGTTCAAGCTGTGGGTGAAGGGTCGAGGGTTCAGGATCGGTCCCCCGCCAGGGTACATGAACGGGGTGGTGGAAGACCCGGTCATCACCCAGCTCACCCCTCCGCCAGGACTCGATTACAACCCTGACAAGGACCCGTATCCAGACATATACGTCCAGACTGGAACAAACAAGGTAAACAAATATATTATATTTTTATGTTGTCATGTGTTAGAATTATGCCACTTTGAAAGCAAAATATGTTAGCTTGAACACGATGTATGTCCTTGTGTGTAGCGGGAACAGTGACATCTGGGGTATAGTGATGCGTTATGTAGCATAGACTATAATTACCGTTCTCGTTGTCGCATCAACTTTAAGTAACATCCCGCCCTTATCCTGGTACGCTAGGAGCCCTCTAGATAACTCAATAACAGCTCTGGTTAAGGTTCGACGTAGCCAGAGCCCGGATGGAGTAGTCTGGCTGATATCTGACCCATAGCAGCCGGGTGCCGTCTGGCAGACCTCGCCCATTACTCAGTCGCCGTCACCCAACCCCCTCCCCCCCTCCACCCACCCACATCTTTCAAGGAACTTTGGGCAGTTATGTCCCGTGGCACAGCCACCACACCTGGGGTAGTCGACCGGTAACAGTTTAGTATGCCGTTCCAGCGCTCACGTCTTGCCGCAGTGCAGGTCGCGTAAACAGGGTGGTAGATAATTGACAGTCCACTTGCAATTATGTGACATTTAATGATGTGCCATCATGGCTGGCTCTCGCGGCAGACTCGCTGACCACCACGCTTGCAGGGCGTGTCGTGGAGTACCAGCATCATGCCGAGGTTCATTCCCAACTAGGCGTGCCCGTTCTAACAGTCCCCTTGAACCTTCGCTGCCCCGACCGCCGCCGCCGCTGCCGCCCCTGATGGGTGGGCGTCCCCCGCCACCACCACCACCACCACCCCCTGGCCCGCCTGCTCGCTACGGGACGGGGCGAGTCATCTGGGTCGGCCCGCCTGTGTGTATGTGTGTGTGTGTCCGGCCCGCTGCTGCTGCTGCTGCTCACCCTCCTAGGGCTAGAAAGGCGCGAGTCTTAAGTGATTTATGTAAGCGTGACGCCCTTACGACCCTCGGCCGCCGTGAGAAGGATGTGGAGTTTCAGATTAACCGAGGCCGTGGGTGGCACTCCTCAAACTTTCGTTCACCTGTGTGTGTGTGTGTGTGTGTGTCGGCAACACACTAGGGGCCCTGAAGCAGTGGTGGCCGGTGTGTGCCGTCCAGCGGCTGCACCGTGAAAAACTGACTCTGGGTAATCTATTGCCTCGTGAAGTCGGCTTTGTGGCGGCTGAAGTTCTCTGGTGAACAATCGAAATGTGTTGGAACGCGTGTTGTCTGCGGAGAGGCGTCGCCGCTCGCCTGCCATGTCTCGCACACGCCTCCGGCCACCTCCGAGCCACAACGGCCTGCGCCAAGCCTGACATTATGGTTTCTGTGCCTTTGTGACGGCCGCCACTGCGCTCCTCTGTAACCACCAACCGGGCCGCCGACCAGAGTGGCTTAAGCCGCATCACACATTTTCTAACTCTTTCCACCATTTTTGAGCCTCGCATGTTATAAATATTATTTCTAACAGCGCACGATGCATTGTCAAGTACGCGTGCATCATAGTGCTATGATGGATATGATGAAGGGTGTAAGACAGTTAGGTGAGAGTGGGATTAAGAGTGAGGGAGAGTGTGAGTGGTGTGTGCCGGTGTGAGGCGGAGGGTCGGGGGTCCCGCGTGCCTGGTGGTGGTAGCCAGCGAAGTGTCAGCTGCCCCCGCTGCCCTCTGTACGTCTCTGTGTACGTATTGCCCTACCGTGTACGTCTAGGCGTATGCCTTGCAAACAGACGTGTCTTCATTATCCCCCCCGGGGAGGGGGATTTAATCCCCCCCTCCCCATCCCCCCACCACCAGCGTCTGCCACTTGCAAATGGGGGGTGGTGTAGGGGGCTGTCAGGTAATAGCGATAATGAGTATGAGGACGGCCTCGTCGGCCCCCCCTCCCCTCCCTACCACTGCTGCTGCTCCCCCCCCCAAAGTGTGTTCACTCACAGCCACACGGAACCCCCCCCCTCCCCCTCTTTAAAAGCGCCCACCTGACTTGGGGGACTCACGCTCAAAACAGGAAGCGCTCCAGTTTACACGGAAGGTGATATTTTGGTCGGCGGTGCCGCAGCCAGTCTGGTTCAGCAGCAGCAGGAGCAGGAAGGTGAGGGGGAAGATGAGGGGCAGGCAGCAGGGGGGCGGGGAGGCGATAAACACCAGGGGGGGGAAGTGGGAGAGGCGATAACATCAGGGGGGAAGTGGGAGAGGCAGTAAACATCAGGGGGGCGGAGACGTGGGAGAGGCAGTAAACATCAGGGGTGGAGACGTGGGAGAGGCAGTAAACATCAGGGGTGGGGAAGTGGGAGAGGCAGTAAACATCAGGGGTGGGGTGGGAGAGGCAGTAACATCAGGGGTGGGGAAGTGGGAGAGACAATAACATCAGGGGAGGAAGTGGGAGAGGCAGTAAACATCAGGGGGTGGGGAAGTGGGAGAGGCAATAAACATCAGGGGTGGGGAAGTGGGAGAGGCAGTAAACATCAGGGGTGGGGAAGTGGGAGAGGCAGTAAACATCAGGGGTGGGGAAGTGGGAGAGGCAGTAAACATCTGGGGTGGGGAAGTGGGAGAGGCAGTAAACATCAGGGGTGGGAAGTGGGAGAGGCAGTAACATCAGGGGTGGGGAAGTGGGAGAGGCAGTAAACATCAGGGGTGGGAAGTGGGAGAGGCAGTAAACATCAGGGGTGGGGAAGTGGGAGAGGCAGTAAACATCAGGGGTGGGGAAGTGGGAGAGGCAGTAAACATCAGGGGTGGAGAAGCGGGAGAGGCAGTAAACATGAGTGAGAGTTAAGGCTTGCAAGAAGCGAGGAATGAGAGCAGAGAGAAGGTGGCCAGGCGCTGGACAGAGCCTTATGGTCTGGACCAACCACCAGGACCATACTAACAGAATCCGGGAAGACCTTCCCGAAGGTGAGTCGAAGAGGAGGAGGACAAGTAGACCAGGCTACTCAAGAACACTTCGAGCACTTATCAACAATACATTAAAGTACAATCGCACGTAAGAGCCGAGCCAATCCGCCAGTGATGCACAAGCCGCAAGTCCAGTAGCTGTGCATGAGACACTTATGGTGGACGATGAGGAGGAGGTCAGGAGCGCCTCATTAGGGTGTAATTGTAGCTGTGGGAGAGAGAGACGGTGCGGATACTGTGATGCAGAGTGTGTGTGGTACATGACCCGGGTGCCTGCACCACGCTGAAGCAAGACTGGTGTTATGCTGCCCCCCCCTCCCACACCCTTCCTCACGCTACCCTCGGGATATACTCAACCACAAGGAAGTATACTTAGTAATGGGGCTCATGTATTAGTGAATATACCTCCTGGTAATGCCATGCGGGCATTACATTGAACAGTGGTTGCTTGGAGGGTATATTGGACGCCAGCCGTGGTGGTGGTGGGGGGTGGGGTACAGGCCTATACTGAGCTAAAAGGGTTATTTACCTGGAGCATATAGCGTATAGGTATGTTGACCAGACCACACACTAGAAGGTGAAGGGACGACGACGTTTCGGTCCGTCCTGGACCATTCTCAAGTCAATTGTGACTTGAGAATGGTCCAGGACGGACCGAAACGTCGTCGTCCCTTCACCTTCTAGTGTGTGGTCTGGTCAACATACTTCAGCCACGTCATTGTGACTCATCAACTGCGTATAGATATACCAAGGAAAATGTTGAGGTGGAATACTGAACCAAAGGGGTGACAAACAAGGTATGATGGATCAATGTCGAGCAAATGGGGTGGTATAATATGTGTTTACTGGTGGTGTACTGACCATGAGTGAGGTATATTGTGTGAGGTATATATGTAGGTGTCATGCGGAGCGCTGGGCTTGGTATACTGAACCCTGTGTTTGGTGTAATAGAGTTATGGACAATATAAACTTTATTGGGTAGTATAGTTGTACTAAGTTATGGGAAGGGAATGGAACACCCTGTCCCCTGGGTTGGATAGGCCTGTTTGCTACATATGTGCCACACCTTGGCCCAGTAATGGCCGGAGCCATGTGCAAGGTATAACCCACTGTACCATAGAAAAGGTATAATAAAGCATATTCAATGTATACTGAACCATTGATAAGTGCAATGAAGTGTGCCTAGGGAGGTATACTGAGTCACGTGCAAGGTTGTATGAGTCAAATTGGAGGTATAGAGTCGTGTGAGTATACCGAGCCGTAAGAGGGAGTATACTGAGCTATGAGGAGGCATACTGACCCGTGAGGGGAAGGGGGGGGTAAACTGAGCCATGGGGTGGAATATTGAGCAGTGCTAGAGTAGAGGAGGGCCGCATGACGAACAGGTGGTAGAGTGCGACAAGGGGGGGGGGGGGCATGCGTCGGTGGGTGCGGGGGGGGGAGGAGACTGCAACACCAGCCTGACGACACACGCACCCACACACACACACACACGCACGCACACACGCACGCTCTCAACAGCCCAGCACCACCCCTCCTCCCCCTCTGGTAAGACGTGTGAGAGATAATAATGACAGAGACTGGGAGTGGCGTGAGGGGGTAAGGGATTGAGTGAGCGAGTGCGTGAGTGAGCGAGTGGGAGTGAATGAGCGAATGAAGGGCGAGTGATCAAGTGAGAGTGCATGTAAAGGAGGTTTGATCGAGTGCAGATTAAAGGAGTGAGGGGGGGGTAAAGGGGGGGAGGGGGAGGTATCAGAGTACCTACACCTGTTGCTGTGAGCCGTTATAGTGTCACTTTACTTCACTTTATTAGTCTTGGAGGCTACCGCTTGAGCGATGTAGCCTCCAACTGCCCTCAGACTACCCTCCCACCCCCCTCCATCCCACACCTGATGAACCCTCTGGCTATGATGTGACTCTTTAGTATTTCCCAGTTTACTATGCTGACGTGTGTGTGTGTATTCTACACCTGACGTGTGTGTGTGTATTCTACACCTGACGTGTGTGTGTGTATTCTACACCTGACGTGTGTGTGTATCCTTTACCTGATATGTGTATCCTACACCTGACATGTGTATCCTACACCTGGCATGAATGGTAGTCATATGTACACTACAGCGACGTGTGTGTGTGTATTCTACAC